GTAAGGTTGATTAATGGACATGATTTAATGGACTTGTGCATACATATATATGTATATATATATATATATATATATATATATATATATATATATATATATATATATATATATATATATATATATATATATATATATATATATATATATATATATATATATGTATATATATATATATATATATATATATATATATATATATATATATATATATATATATATATATATATATATATATATATATATATTGATATTTGCTAACCTGATGCCGACCTTAAAAAAGATTGAGGTCAGCAATAATTTGCCGACCTCATTTTTTCTAATTCCGAGGGTTGTATATATACATATATATATATATATATATATATATATATATATATATATATATATATATATATATATATATATATATATATATATATATATATATATATATATTTATATATATATATATATATATATATTGATGTTTGCTAACCTGATGCCGACCTTAAAAAAGATTGAGGTCAGCAATAATTTGCCGACCTCATTTTTCCTAATTCCGAGGGTTGTATATATACATATATATATATATATATATATATATATATATATATATATGTATATATATATATATATATATATATATATATATATATATATATGTATATATATATAAATTATATATATATATACATACATATATATATATATATACATATATATATATATATATATATATATACATACATATATATATATATACATATATATATATATATATATACATATATATATATATATATATATATATATATATATATATATATATATATACATATATATATATATATATATATATATATATATATATATATATATATATATATATATATATATATATATATATATATATATATATATATATATATATATATATATATATATATATATATATATATATATATATATATATATATATATATTAGGGGTATTTTTGTTGCTTGAGTTATCTACTTTTAGATTATGTTTTGTTGTTTGGTGGAAACGATGGAAAGAGTTGATCTTAACCATTTTTAGTCATGTATATATTTGAGAGGTTGGTTGGGGAGGGCTTTTTAATTTTTTTTTTTTCATTTTCTTTAAATATATAATATTTTTGTAATTGTACATTTTTTATTTAAAGAAAGACTATTTTATTGTTTTTATCCAAGATTTTTTATCATTTGTTTTAAATTTTAAACAATGATAAGCTACAACCATTAAGTTTGCTTCTCCGTCTTCTTTTGTTTCTAAAAGTTTCAATGAGTTGTTAAGAGTGGGAGGAGGAAGGAAAAAAAGGGGGAGGGGTCAAAAAAGAATTTTATGAGATTTTTTTATTTTTTTTTGTAAATAAAAAAAATTTCCGCAAGCAATTGTTAAAACAAAGTATCTCATACTGAGGTTTTTCATGTTGGAAAAAGAATTGAAATTATATATGACACATTACACATTTTACATAACCAAAAACACTTGCTTATTAAAAAAACTGTATTCCAGAGGTTATCCTATGTGTTAATTTTTCAAAAATTTCTACGATTATTAAATATAGCTTCATGTCTATTTTTTTATGGCTTAATGTATTCAAATAGGAGGTTTTACCATTTGCCCTTTACTAGGTCAAGAAAATACTGACTAACATATCAGATGTTTACTATATTATAGTAAAATGCCTATTAATTTATAATTTATTTTAGATTTAAATTGACTTAATAATTATATAGTAATATGTTTTTATGATAAAAATATCAATATATAAATGTTTTTAGTTACAATATCTTTAATGAATTCTTTTACTTTTGATATGCCATTTAGAGACAAGAATGTTAAAAGGAATAGAAAGGATTTAAAAGGGAAACTTAAAAAGGAATAGAAAGAATTTAAACAAACACAAAACCATAAAGGCAAAAATGTTATTTTAAAAGGAGAAAATTTATTTGATGAAAAATAAAAAAACTCATCATCTTGAAAGATAAAACAAGTTTTAAAAAGTAGACAAGAAGATGTAAATTTTCTTAATGATTAGAAAAAATCATGGATCAGAAATGATTTTGTTCATTCATTCAGTGATTCATGATTCATTAATTCATTCATTGATTCACTGATTCAATGATTTATGTTCATTCATTCAGAATCAAAGGATCAGAAATGATCATGTTCAAAAAATGTTGTTCAAAAAAAGTTTTGCAAAATAGAAAGTGAAGTAAGAAAAAAATTTAAATGTTATAAGAGTCCATTAGGAAACAAACAAAGGTTGGTTAGTAAAAAATTTGAGGAGACAATAAAACGTTTAGATACTTGCGATAACGGAAATAATAAGATAGACAGTATATCCAGCCTTTTAGATAATTTAAAAAGTATATTGTTCCTATTTTTATTTATCTGTAAAGTAATTACATAAATTAGTTCTTGAATTAGCACAAACAGAAAAATCTGCAAGTTACTTAAAAATTAAAGATTTTTTGGACCTGAAAACTGATTTTTGTTTGATTTGTTAAAAATAACATTACTTTAGAGAGAATGGCTGAAAGTTCATCAAACTGGAACTTATTGCGGCTATGTGCTACGTGCATATATATAATACACTTATTAAAACAGTCTTTCTTTAAATAAAAAATGTACAATTACAAAAATGTTTTATATTTAAAGTACATGAAAAAAAAAATCTAACCCCTAATTTTTTTTTGCATGTACTTTAAATATATACCTCTCAAATATACAAATGATTGCAAATAGTTAAGATCAACTCTTCCCATCATTTTTACCAAAAAAAAAAAACTTATTCTAAAAGTAGATAGACCAAGTTACAAAAATAACTCTCATGGTATTTTTGTAATTTTGTTAAGTAACCTAAGTTCAATTTGAGTAGTTTGCTCCTATTATAAATGCAAAAGCTTAAGTTTTTGGTATTTTTAGACAGCTGGATTAATTTTTAAAATTTCCAAATTTTCATCTGCACTGGTGGGGGGCTTTTTTTTTTGATTTAAAAAAAATTATTTTTGTGATTAATAAATATTTGATTTGTCAGAAAAGACCAGATGGAGACAAAATCTTTTTTTGCACCATTACTTGATCTAACTAATGTACAAGGAGTTTAGCTGAGTGCATAGGACAAAAATTTCTATAAATTGCAGATACCTTATAATGCTTTTCAATAAGATATTGGCTATTGCAAAACAAGTCCCAAAAGTCAATTCATCCATCAAAATGACAAGCTTTATTACACCTGGTTTGTCCTGGAAACCATTAACATTGTGTGCTGTCTTTTCAGATTCCACTGAATCATCAAGCAAGTCATCCAGTGAAGAAGATTAGAACTATAATACTGTTGAATGCAGGATGAGCGCCATTCTACTAAAAAGTGTAGTCAGTTTGGTAACAAAGACAAACTTATCAACAACAAAAAGCATCTAAAGTTATGGACATTCAAAAAAAGATAGTTACACAGTTCGCCTTCTCAATCTGGTGTGTACTAAGCTTTATATAAAGAGGCAGATTTTTTATTTGAGCATTTCAAATTTTTCTTTTGTAATTATGATTGTTGTTTGCATTTTGATGGTAAACATCTGGAAGGAGAAAAGAAAATTGTTGACTTAAAGAACTCTATGCATAAAATTTGCTTTGCTGTTCTCTGACTAAAAAATGAAAAAGCTGACACAATATATGGTGTTTTAATGGCTGTTTTAACAATGTATGAAGTATTGGAGGCCATTAAGATTGTTATATGTGACACAACAAGCACAAATATGGGCTCCAAAAATGGTATTGCTAAGAAAATCCAAAAACGTTTCATGCGACCAGTCCCCAGTATGTTGGGGACTGTTGTATAATAAAACATTGTATTGAATATTATTGTTATAATTATTATTTAATGGACCTACCCGACAGAACAACGGAGATGTGGAAGAAAGGGGAGACGATGCAACTGAAAAAAACTAATTTTACCAACTTCGGGTTTTTTTTTTTTTTTTAAAGTCAAATTTTAGTTTTAACCGAGTCCCAAACCTACCAACTTACCAACAGAAACTGAAAGAATATTTTAAATCTGGGGGAGATAAGGGTGTAACCCCCACATTCCTTTTCCCCTGTTGGTACGGCCAAACCCTATAGCATAACCCTATAGCATCAAAGGGAATAACACTAACATTTTGAAAACTTGTGCAAATTCAATTTAACTTTACTTTGAAGCCTTAAAATTAAGTCGTGTTTTTTTGAAAAAATTTCATTTGCACTGGTAGGGGAGTTTTTTTTGATTTGGAAAAAAGTAGTATTTTATGTTAATACAAGTAAAAGTTCATTTTTTGCTGCTAAGTCATTTCCGAGAAATGAAATTTGCATTTTAGTCATATCCTAATGTCATATGCAAAAACTAATTAAAGTAAAATTAGAAATTTGTTTCAAGGAACCCCATCTGTGGGGTACCTTGATGATAACAATGAAACGTGGAAAAAAAAGTCAACTAAAGACTACTTCGTTGTCACAATGGGTTACTACAATGAAGCCAAGGTTTGCGAGCTGGTTGGTCTGTATACATTAAAATCATTGTGGGCATTTCCATTTTTGTGTGTGGTTTTTTATTTTTCTTTGTTTTAGCAACTAAAAGCTGGGGCTTTATACAATATGCATACTATTTTGATTTTCTTAAAGAACAATTATAACAAAAATATTTGTATCATATTTTAGGCTATCTGAACAAATTAAATATACACATTTTTACAATTTTATTTTTTTCAGTAATAATATTGCTACATTTTGAAAAATATACAATAATTTTCAAAACGTCATACTCTAGCTAGAAATAATTGATGACTGCTGTTTCTCATCGAAAATATATTAAATATGAGTCGCAGAAGTTTAATATTTCACTTGAAATACTCACAAACAATTTATTTTCATAAAAATAACTACATGAAATTTACAAATTTGCAACATCCGTGCATGACTTTCGTGCGTGATCATTCATAAACTGTATTTAAACGATTGCT